AGCTGCCCGCTAATCCAGAGGTAATTTCCGCATTAAATAGAGGCCGGCTTCACCACTTAGTAGTCGACGGGTGCCGTGGCATTTCGATTCTTTCCTTGCGCCCCAGTATTGCTTGCTTGAGAAACGTTTGTTTTAAGTTTTCGGAATTCTTTAACATCTTTATTTTCATTGATATATTAAGATATGTAAAGATATTATAAAACTGCAGTTTAAAAAATAATTTCTATCAAATTGAAAAGTTCAGACTTACACACGCTTATGTTTCAGAGAAATAAGCATGGCGGCGATCTTTATCGGTTACATCGTATGATTTAAATTAATTTAAAAAATACATTAGACAATAAAAAAAAACTAAAGCTTATGTGGAGTTTCTACAAGCTTACTTTGATTTGTGTTAAAAAATTGGAACAACACATGGAAGAATGCGCGACTCAAACCAAATTGCTCCGTGGTGGTATGGGAAATATATAAACGCGACTTCAGTAATCCAAAATTTATGATTATTCTACAGAATAGAAATGTTCTTTTCCATTTATTTTCTTTAATTATTAATTATTTATTAATCTTTTGGTAAATTATTCTTTCTAATTTATTGTATGTGATTAACAAATGCTCTAATAAGTTCATACCTGGTAGGGGATAAGTTAGGTAGTCCTTCGATAGATGCAAAAATAATTCCATTTATAACATTATAATTTTATATTTAGTATGGCTATATTAGAAGGAAAGTTACATCGGCTGCAGACAATACCGTTATTTCAAAGAAATAAAGTATGAAGAAACTGTAATATTCTAAGTTGTTCGTTAATGATGACCTTGTTGTAAAGTGAGAATTTTTTTTTTAACAGATCCACAGGTTGTTGTAGACTAAACAAACATTTCAATGATTTGTTCGTCAGATTGTTTACATTCTTCGCATATTCTGCAAGATATATGAGACTGCATAATACTCTAGTCGATGTGATGCTTTTGCACTAATAAGGTTTCCTCAGTTCATGGGCGGATCTACGGAGGGGACTTTGGGGCTGAAGCTCCTCCTCCCCCCCTCCAAAACGGTAAAACATAATACCATGTTTTATGAAAAAAAATGACAAAAAATTGTGTCTTAAAGTATTATTGTTCATCTAATTACATTTAAAAGGACTTTAGGAATCACTTAAACACCATTTCATGTAGGTAGTTAGTTTCTTTCTTTTTTTCCAAAGTAATTATCGTTATTTTTATGAAAAAAAGCTTTCGGGCTGAAGCCCCTCTCCCAAAAATCAAATCCTGGATCCGCTAGTGCCTCATTTTGTATTTTTGTATAATAGTTATTCGCTTTATTAAATCTTATGGTTGATAAGGCGAAGTAAGTGAAAAGTTCTTTGGAGTTAGAAAGGACTTCATTGTTTAAAACTTCTTATAGAGTGAAAGTTAGTACTTAAACTTAACACAGCAATAAAAAAAATATGATTTACATGTATCACAGTGTTCACTTATTTCCGTTTATATTATTTTTATTTAGTATCGAAAAATTTATTCAAGATAAAAGGTTTTTCAATCTAATATAGATGGCGTAATAACTTCTATCGGGCTAGGAATCATAAGCTCATTGGTATGGATTCTTCGACATAAAAGCGGATATCTATGGAAGTATCGCTCCGCTATTCATGATATGCTCCGTTGGTAGAATTGAAGAAATGCTTTGTAAAAAAAAAAAAAGTATTCCGGAGAATGGTGGACTTCTGAGAAATTACATGTTCCCATATAGGAAAGCCCTTCAGGCTAAGGAACGCAGTAAATAAGGAAAAGCAACTGTAAACGTTTCCATTCCTGACACAGATCGATTGTAGCTGGTGAAGTTCAGGGCTGTGTTTTTGTCGGAGCATGCTCAGTCCACTTGACATATTAACTTTTTAGGCCTTCTGGTAATGCATCCGCCAAACCGGTTTCACTTCTTCTTTTTTCTCATTCTCTTTTTCTGTTATCATTCTTAGAGCGCGAACTCTTCGTGCTGATCATCGTAAAAATATTTTTATGTCCCTATTAATATAGAAAGGGGAATGGATGTTCCATCACATGTTCTATGAGGCGTGTGATGTGTTAGAATTATTATTTTGTATTAATAAAGTATTTATTTATTTATTTTTGTTTTTTGATGATTATCAATATCATAATGCGATAAGCAATACCAAACCTAAATACAGTTAAATTTAGTATTTTTCTTTATCTTGATTTATTTTTTATTCATTATTTTCAATTCAATTTGGTTCATTATTTTATATTCAAACCAGTGTAATCGATAAAGAAAACGAAAGTTAACCTTTCCTCCTAGATAATACTGAGCCTACATATTTTTCAGATTTGGTATTAAAGTACCTAACTCTCTAGTTCATAATCTAATATCAAAAAAAAAATTCCTGACAACCCTCCGAGGTGTCTGAAAAGAAGATGGCCAAGGGACCTTCTAAATTAATTGAATTTTTGAAAATGCTACCAATGGGTAGTTTCTTTACAAGTTTTTATCATGTTTTATTTATCATTTTGGCAGATTTACTTATTGTATAGGTATACAGTTAAAAAAAATTAATTGGAAAATTAAAAAAAAAATTGGTATTTAAGTCAGAGGTCACCCAAGTATGATCCTCCCAATTCGACATTACTATTCGCCGTTTTGCTTCAAAATGGCGGCCTAAATGTGCGTATTTCTATGGACTGTAGTACCGAAACGGCTGTGAAGTTTTTAATAAAAGTTATTTAAATTCTTTTCCTTGAAGCCCTTAAAATTTATGTATATAACATACTTTTCCAAAAAAAAAAACTGAAAAAGTTACGATAAACGTAGAATTTCATATGCATAGTGTTCTGTAAGTACACACTTGTTGATGATTTTTATAAGTAGACATTTAAAACATAATTAAATTTTTAAAAAATTAATCGAAATCGGAGTACTATTAGTAAAGATAGAGTTATAACACTTTTTTGATTATTATTTTCAATAATAAACCATTACAATCGAAAAAAAAAAAGTTCACCACATCTTAAAATATATGATTTCACATTTCATGTAATGTTTGAAGGATAATGAATTTTCCTAAAAACAGAAAAATATAGATTGGATTACTTGGTTCAACTTAAGGTTTAAAACTTATAGCAGAAATTCCATTGCAAAGTAGATTTTTCGTACTTTATAAATATAGCAATCAACTATTTGCACTTACATTATACAAGATTGTGTAAAACCCAATCGATATTTAACAGTGTAAATCATGAAAATAGCCAAGAGACCATAGTTTCATATTGATTAAATACACCTAAATTGTGTTGAGTTAATTTTGGCTTTTCATGTAAGTGGCATTTACTAACATCCTGGAATCACGTATCTATTGAATTATTCTTGTTATAAAGTTCCCATTACAGTGTTGCTGATATGATCTCATTATATTTCTTGGGTAAATGCCTGTCGAGATATCTGGGAGGAAAATAGTAACAAACTATTCCTGGTTTTCAGCGGTAATGAATTACTCAGATCTTAAAAAAGAGTGGTTCGTTGATCCTTGCCCCACATTGAGGTTTATTTCTGTTACTGATCCTAATTTGTAATCAGATTTTTCTTAGCTGAAGTTCTCCACCTTGGTATATTGTTTTACGGATGAAGTAGATGACCAACTATCTATCTTCAATAATAACAGTAATCTTCATTCAAAATTGTTAAAAACCACGAAAAGAAATTTCTGATGACAAAAATGAATGAATGAATTACATGATCATATTTAATAATATTTTTATAATTCAAATTTTTAGTGAAATATTTTGTTAAAGAAGATGGATAATTTAAAAATGGAGAAAGAACCTCAAAACTTTGAATATATTAAATGAATAAATTATAGTAAAATCTACATTTACTCTCTGAAAATTTAATAATTGCATTTGATATTTTTTTTAATTTGCTTTCGTCCCTACTCTGGAGAATATTGGTGGTAAGTTATCTTTATATTTAATATTATAAATCTGTTTGTTGTAATTATTGTAACTTGATTCCAACTTTCTCTTCATCGTCTTGTAATATTTCTTGTATTAAGTACGGTAATCTTACTAGGTGTATTGTATTGTATGACTTTTGGTACCTGGGTACTTCTAGACCTCTAAAAAGGCACCCATATGTAATGCGATAGTGACCAATTTGTATTCGGTATTGCATAATTTGTTCTCTTATAGATTTGCTTGTACTTGTGGTCCATTTGTTCCACCCTGTTTTTATTTCCAATATTTAGGATTCATTTTTCTCAGTTTTCTTAAAGTATTATCTTTTACTGATTCACCCAAGGCTCTAATGTGATACTTTTTATAAGATAGAATGAACATTAACGCTGCGTCAATAATAATTTGATAGTCATTCGGATATTGCAAATCTTTTGTGTCTTAAGAAGAAAAATGTTCTTTATTCAAACTACTGAGTCACTCTAAATGATGACTTGCCAGCTGTATTCAGGATGTGAGTCGATGCGAGTTTCATGGCAGCTATAAACCCTTCGGTTACATGAAGACTCAAGTCATAACAGAGCGCCATTTTAACCAAGAATGTCTGATTCATCTCTCAGATCTCATTCTTTATGTGCCCAGGATGCTTTGGAATTTAAAATAAAAGTTTATTAGACACTTGTGGTTCACTTGATATGGATTCCTGGCTCTGAATGTGCCGTGAGTTCCAGAGATGATGGACTGATCGCAGGAAATAACTGGGGCAACGGTGTGAATAACTATCTTATGTTCAATGTGACCTTCAGCAAAACGCGTCGTTATACATCTGTGATTGCCGGATCGATTCTATTCTAATAGAAAAGTAGTCAGGAATATTAATTAAAGCAGAATAAGAACCCAAAGATCATTCCCTCTCTTTTGAAAAAATAGTTGAATGCTCTATATAGTACGAAATGTTTTTATCACAATGTTCCATATACCGGGGTCATGGACATTAGTAAGCACGTGACTCATCTGATTAGTTATCTTCTATTATTCTGATGCATCTCGGTAATGAGCTGCGACTTCCAGCTAGTAGCGGTTACTCACGAAGTTCCTGGAGGCGGCTGACGTCGTACATATTCCGGGCTTGCCCTGAAGCTGGAGCGTGTAGCGGTAGGACAGGTCAGCTGGGGTCCAGGTGTTCTCGGAAACCCAGGTACAGCCAGGTGAGCTATCTAATGGCTGCACCGTTCTGCTACAAAGGAATTCCTAGGTATTTGCCTACTCCCATCTGCTTTGTAGTCGATGGGTTCTTGTTCTAATATTTCCTACGGAGCGTCCTCTGTGCCTTACTGCTGATCGCAAATAAGTGATAGTGAACTAGAGCAGAGAATAAACTCCCAAATTGCGTCACGGTTTCCGGAATGCCTGATTAGACTAAATGACGCCATTCAAATTGCAACTATACAAAAATGTCTAATATTTTTCATTCATTCGTAAAAGATGTCTGCTCTTTGAATAAGTGATCAGAAACGTATCAATTTCAAATCAACATTAGAACAAAAGATTTTGTTTATTTTCTATTAATTTTAGGTATTTAAAATAATGATTAAAGTTTTGATTTTGTCATAATATTAGAAAATATCTGGTGTGTCCACTCAAACGACTTTCCTACCTATTTCAGAAAAATTTTTATATCTTTACATATCTTCATGAAGAAACAAAAAAGAATTGAACTAGATACATTTTCCTGAAAACTGATCAAACATAAGATTTGAGTACGATTTATTTGATAAACTAAAGCAATGTTAACCGGCTTAAGGTAGATCAGTGTAAAAATTTCAATACTTCCTAATATTGCTGATCGAAAACTTTTTTCCATAGCTTAGTATTGTCAAACAATAATTTCTGTTAAAAGTACAGGAAATAGTGAAGATTGTGTGATGTGTGCAAGAGATTTTCATACTTTCACTTAGTCATCTTTATTCTCTCATTCACCCGTTTCTAACACCAGAATATGAAACCGTAATATTACATTGGAAATTGAATAGCTGTAACTTCGTTAATAGTTGTCCAAAATGAACGATATGTATTTTTTATATGGCTATTTTATATGGCTTTGTAGGGAATTTTATTACCTTTCAAACGACAGGCTAAACGGCTTAATTTTCCGAATTTTACGTTTATCAGGGGGCTGTGAAACGTATAGATCCGTCGAAAACCGTATGTAGGAAATTTGACCCGATTGCAATACTTTCCTTACCTAGTATAGGTAGGAAAGTAAAAAAAACAACACTAGTATATAGCAGCCAAAAATCTCACATTAGAAGCCATCCTTTCCCTAATTTACCCGAAATTATCTACACCTGTTTATTCATAAATACAATATAGTATTATCAAGATGGCCTATTCAACACACACAATTGTGCATCATTTACCATGACTGTTAAAGTAACAGTGATTAGGATGTAACATAGAAGATATTCATCCAGTTAAATAGTTAGGCAATAAGATATAATCGTTGTCCGTAGTACAGACTCCATTTTATAAAATTATTAACATCCGTTGAAGCATCGTAAATAGCTTCATGTGATCGTAACCAAAAATATTATTTTAAGGAAAATTATTAGAATTGGGGCGTTTTCAATGTGGAGATCGTCAAACTTGGTCTATTTAATTAGGTGCCAAAAACTCATGAATACCCATTTGCTTTTCACTTGAATCCCAAGATAACATGATTACAAAATTGAAAAAAAGGTGTCCTACAAAAAAATTGGGACGTTTAGCGTATATAACCTCGTTATTTTAACTTTTTCGGGGTGAGGGTCACACCAAACCAACCAATATTTTTGTAGGCCACTTTTTATTTCGACATTAGGATCATATTATCTTACGATTGAAGTGGAAATCAAATGGGCATTCGCGAGTTTTTAGTACCTAATTAAATAGACAAAGTTTACCCATCTCCAGATTAAAAACGCCCAATTCCAAGAAATTTCGTAAACGAAATATTTCTTAGTTCTGATGAGATGAAGCTATTTACGATGTTTCAGGCGGATGTTAGTAATTTGTTAAAAAGGGATCTCAACCACGGATTAATAGCTTTCCGTGAACTTTGACTAATCCATTATGGTACTCATTCAAGACCTGTTGTTACTGAGAGTATAGAAGCCATTATTTGACTTATTTTAATTTATTAAAAATATCGAATTATCGAATACTATCGAATTTCTTTGTATATTATTCGAAGCGAACCAATGGATCATAGGGATATTCTCATCTATTTCCTTTTTTTAATCCATTTTATTCCTTAAACATTAACTTGAGATAAGTATGTTGAGAAATATGTGCGTTAGCCTTTCTTATCAAATCGAGTATAAAAGATCATCTGTCTTGTTATTTATAGCATTTCTGTTTGAAGATAAAATGATATTTGCCAGATATTAAAATGATTAATATCTGCCAATGAACAATATTGGTACTGTTGTAATTTTCTTAGCCTGATATGTTGAAGAAAAAAAAACGTGCTGTCATAACGTGCCTATCGTTTTAGTAATGCCTTTTAAAAACATTAATGAGCTAATTGACCCATTAGGACTTTCCAACTGTCGCTCGCGAAACGATTAGCACGTGAATAATGCCGAGCTGCTTAGCTCTCTCTTCAACAGCTGTTTCTTTAGATCGGAATATGTTCGGTTGTCTGCATTAATGTATTTACTAAGTTCTGGTACATATTGTTAATTTTTTTATGTGTCAATCAGTACCGAATTCGCGTTAACATGCCTTGCAACATCAGAGTAATTTCTCTTTCTTTCTATGCTTATTTAGAAAAGAAAATCAGAATCTAGTCGATTTTCCTGACGATTGTCAAGAAATTAATTGTTTCGTAATTTGGATCTATCTTCGCTGATTATTTGCTGACGAAGCAAATTCGTGAAATTTTTCTGAATAGTTTTATCTAACTATAAAAAATGATTTTATTTTGTATATACTACTTAATATTAATCAATAGTGATCTAAAACAGTAAATATTTCCAAAGATTTATGAAATTTTCCATACAAATGGAACAATTAAACTTTTAATAAAATCTAATAGATGATACACAATTCGTCTTTTTTATTGTGTAAAAAATAGATTTAGAAACGATAGAATAGGACTAAATGAATAGGAGGGCATTCTGATCCTGATTTCATAAACATATTAATGATAATATTTCAAAAATTCAAAATGAGGACTATATACAGTGGCTACGTGAACGAGAGAAATGAGGGGAGGAAGACAATCTATAGTTTTCCCAGTTATTTAGTTCAGTTAATTGATGATAATCGCTTTGCAGTTTTTAGGTACATTTTTTTTTTGCTAATAGAAAAAAAATAGAGCTTTATACAGAATATTTAATCATGATTTTCTCGACATAATCAGAAAACTTATACTTATATTTTTTAAAAGAAAACTTACAAGTATGTTTTTTTTTGCTATAATGAATATTTTCCGCCTTAAACGCTATAAGATGAAGAAATAACTGTATTAATAAATAATAAAATTCTATTGAATTTTTAATTTCCGTATTATCGGTTTTCTTAACTTTCTCCGTTGGCATTTGCATTCGAATCTATTACTACACACCAAACAAACAGTTGCACAATAGTGATATTTTTTTTTAACAATGGCACTCAGTGGAATATTCTAATATATTTATAAATATAAAAATTTATGGGTAAAGAATAATCTGCATGCTGACATAAAATTTACCATTCAGAATTCATTTCGTTCTTATAACCCTCTGACTACATATAAATAACATTATAACATAAGTTAATCATGCCGAAAGAATAATTTTATTTTTTATTTAGATGATGGACATTGTTTATCAATTGGCATGGATTATAGTGTTCATTGTTATTTATGAATTACTTTATTATGATATTAGTTTTTCTCCTAAAGCTTAACTTTTGTTCGCAGCCTTTCAAGTCCTATCAAAATATTTTCACCTATGTTAAAAGGTCCACTTTCTATTGAGTTCAATGACAGTCGAAGGAGAGGCCAAAATCCATTGATCCTCCGGTGCCCGCCCATTCAAGTCTCCGAGAACCGGTCTCAGGCGAACCGGCCTACAGTATCAGTCCTTCCACCAGACGCGGCTTATCACTTCTCACTATCACCTCCGGCATTCAGTATTTATTCTACAGTATCAGCTTGCCTAGGGGCCTGCTCTCTTTCATGGTCGTCTATGGTCTGGCATCCTTTCCCAATAATTGTGTCGTTGGTAATAGTTAGAGAAAGCTCTAACGTACTCCACAAGGATGGTTAAGGATTGTTATAGTTAGGTTGATTTCAGTCCTATTTTAACCCTGAAAGGCCCGAAGAATTTTTAGGTTCAAATTCGAAATAAAAGTCAATCCTCATTAGCAATGGCATCTAAAATAAAATTCTAACAATAGCGTGTATTCAGACATGTGGCACTCCCTTACAAACACATCATTAGTCCTCTCTCTCCTACTCACAAACAAAAATTAAACAAATTTCTTAATCTATTGTTTAGTAATAATAATAATGCCTTATTTATTCTGGGAGGAGTCCTTTCAGGATAATACAGAAAGACAAAAATGTGGGCTAAGGAGCCTCAGAGATGCAAAAACAAAAATATAGATTAATTAAATAGTCATAATAAAAAAATAATAAAAGAAATTATAAGTTACTTTCTAATTTAAATCAGTTAGTTATAAAAATAAAAAATTGAAAATAAAAATGGAGTAAAAATAATGAAGAAAGATCTAATAATTTATGTACATATGTACAGTAGTAACTATTTATAATTTTATGGGGACTGGAAGGATAAGAAATGATTGAACAGGGGGGATTTAAAGGTAGGAATGGTATTGGATTGACGGATGTGGGGAGGGATGGAGTTCCATAGGGATGAGGATCGGATGATGAACGATCAGTCGAAAGCAGCAGTTCAGTGGTTCCTTATGTCTAAATCAGACGACGGGTATGTATAAATTATGTTTATTGCCGTATATTTAAGATGTATTTCACTTAATTTATTTATTTTTCATTTGCTTTATTAATAGGCTATAATTAATTTTTCTCCTACACTTTTGTATCTTTTCTAATTCCCGAAAAGTGGCGGGAGTCCCTATAATTGCCCCCAGGCATGTGTCCGGGTTGCCTTGGACCAAAAAGTGCCTGTTTTTATCTTATATTATTAAAATATAAGGATCATTTGTGGTTTAGGGAAATGAAAAAAATATATTGAATATGTTTGAAGTTATGATTTATTGATCACTAGTTAACTTATTAATATAATTTTTTTGTTTACAGGTAACTATGGTTTCTTGATTTGGCAGTTAGCATTTTCGATTTTGAAATGAGGTAGGAAGTAACAAATAACCATTAATTAATTAATAAGTAAATTTATAATTTTGAAAACAGCGGCATGTCTTGTGTACAACAAATACTTGTTGTAGCTTCAAATCATCAGATGAAGTAAACATGATATCTGATATCTGATTAGAATAATAAAAAGATTCATACAATCACTATTTTCTGAGTTTGCTCATTTGTGTTGTCAGCAGTTCCCACAGATATCAGCTTATGATGAAATACCTGATCTCTATCTTGTTATTTTTGCTTTTATTGATGATTTATTCCATAACTGCAATATGATATAATCTAGTTAAATATTATCTCTCCCGATTCCGAGAAGAAATGCGTATTTAAGTGAGAAATGGACGGCAACTTTCCAGTTTCAAATGAGAACCTTTTATTTATTGTTCTGTATATAGTTTTTGTTAAATTTCGACTAGTAATAGATAGGGATAAAAGACCGAAGAAGTTAGGAGAAAGCCGAAGGTGTGGATCGTTTCCTTCTGCCGTGAAGGACAAAGGACCAACGACCCCGCTGGACAAGCCGTGATCGGAGGCTGGGAATCTGCCGCGAGTGTCGTCCTGTAGAACAATCAGCCGGCCTATTGTCCCATCAACTGTCCAATATCTCGACAATTTTGCTATCAAGGCTTTTAACCCTTTCTATAAGTGGTCATATCTCTTTTTCTATCTAGTGTTTTCAACATTGATACTATCTACTGTCCCAATTAAGGTTAATAATACATTTATGTGCCAAATAATCGACTTTAGCACATCGATGACTTACTTCTAAAACCTTGTTAATACTAATATTAAATTCTTGTTAGTGAAGAGTATGGTATTTATGGTATTTATATGGTGAAGTATAAGGGTCACTCATTTACTTTTATATTTATGTAACTTATTATTTTTTTAACGATTTCGGGGATTTTTCAATTGAATTTTACAAATTCAACCACAAAAATAAAAAAGAATATATTTTTTTATTTATTTTCCCTAATAGAAATATTTTTTTGATCTCTGGAAAAATTCGTTTTTATTGACTTATAATGTTTAGAAGTAAGCCATCGATATGTTCCAATGTTAGTAGTATACATTGGGCATATTTATTAAGTCTTTGGTTGAACGTGGATCACTGATTGTTCAATCTTTGTTTTCAATAAAAAATTGGCTTTATGAAACTGTATTTCTTTAACAAGTATTTAATTCAAGGACTTTCGTGGGTCATGTAGGTTTTTTATTTGCACAAGTTTGATTGGGGTACAGGTTTTTTTTTTATTATATATTAAACATAAATATGGATTTATGTTTATTTTTTGTTTTTTCCATTTATGGGTCTTTTAATTTCTAATCACCATTGATTTTTTTCCGAAAATAGGCAAATCTATATTTTATATTCCAATTGTAGTATCAAAAGCATTATTAAAAAAAAAAACACTGCAAATTATTTCACAGTTTATTATATCCCAACAATTATACATCTAAAGTAGCATTACTTTTCTAATGACAAAACATAGCATTACTTCAGCATTACTAAAAACATTCAAAAATCAAAATCCAAACAAAGGATTTGCAGTAGAACATAAAAAACATCTAGAGACCCTACCTTTGCTCCTAATTGTCCGATTTTAGCGATTTCTGTTTGCTTTTTAGAAAATACCATAAACAATCAACAAAAAAGTGTATACTTTTTGAGTTATTCGAAATCTAATTTTACCATCCCTTTTTTTCCAGCTTCTTTTCTTTGAAGTATGTCATAAAAATAAATTTAAAGGGCATCAAGAAGAAGACTTTAGCCAAGCTTCATTGAAATCGGAACATTCGTTTAGGCGCTACAGTTAGCAACACAAGTTTTTCGGCCGCCATTTTAAAAGTAAAAGGCGGATAGTAATGTCGATGAAGGAGGGTCATCCTCGGGTGATCTCTGACTTTAAATCCAAATTTGAAAAATTGGTCCAGTAGTTTCGGAGAAAATGCGCGGACGGCGGACGGACGAAAAATTTTTTATTCGTTTTTCGAATTCTACATATCCTGAAACGTAAAACCTCAAATTTTGAGAGGGGGTTAAGTTTTTGAATTTTTTGTTCGGTTGCAATAGTTCATTATTGAAAATAATAATAAAAAAATATTTAAAAATCGCGATATCTTCACTAATAGTGCTCTAATTTCGATGAAACTTTCCTCGTTTTTAAGAAATTTAAATACCTTTGAAACATCTTATCACAATACTGACAAGAAAATGTGTACTTCTTGAGTTATTCAAATCTAATTTTCCCATCTCTCGTAACTATTTTTCCAGCTTCGTTGAAGTATGTCATAAATTTAAATGGCACCAATAAAAAGATTTAAGCCAAGTTTCATTGAAATCGGTGCATTCATTTAGGCCCCACAGTCGAATTCTACGTATCATGACACGTAATACGTAATACAAATTTTGAGAGAGGGTTAAGTTTTTGAATTTTTTGTTCGATTACAATGGTTCATTATTAAAAATAATGAACCAAAATAAGTTAATTGCTTTTTTTTTAATTTATGAAAATCGTTGATTATTTCAATAGTAACTAAAAAACATTGAAACTTTACTAAGGCCACTTCTGGAAGGAATTCGACTTCAACTTCCAATTATCGATAAAAAAAAAAAGATTGATTGGGATTGGGTTTTGAAAAACCAAATTGTGTATTTGGAAGAAAAAGTTATAAAAATTGTACTATAAAAAATTAATTTTTTCTTCACAATAATTATTTAGTAAAATTAATTTATTTTAATTTTTCATTTGAATAAAACGGTTAAAAAAAACTTTTCATGATTTAATTTTTAAAATACTTAGGTAATGAAAGTTTCATCACATTCCTTGAAAAAAAATGCTAGAAATAAACTTATTTTTACACCTTTTTTTAAATATTTCCGTTCGTGTTTGAATAAAAAAATACCTACACCATCGGATTTATTCGATGTTTTTAGATAGAGATCAATACTTATCTCGAATTCCAAAAAATCAATTAAGGTTCATTTTACTAATAAGTGACTTAATAAGAAAGGAAATAAGTGACTCATATAGTACTTACCCACAAGCACGGTGTGCAAAACTATTCCGCCGAGTGGCTCTTGTCATTTTTGTCAACCACTAACGTCTATCTTGAGGCACAGTCTTCGGAATTAAGGACAGTTTGCGTTATGAAAGAATTATTATATTTTGGATTTTACAAATTATCTAACAGACCTACTCGCAAGAAAATTGATCTTGTTTCCACGTACCTAGCATTCCCGTTTGCAATCAAACCTTGTTATCATCCTTAGTAAATATTAAAAACGTATTCAACGTTATTCAAATGATCTCGTTTTAGTTGAGTGTATTTTACATTTAATATATTTTATAATTCATATTTATAAGCAGTCATTTTTTGTTTGACGTGAATGTTTCACTGATTTGCGCTATTTTCACTCTAATTCAGGTATAAAATAAACCAAATGGGTCTCTTTACTCTACATATGTTTGTATATATATATATATATATATATATATATATATATATATATATATATATATACATATATATATTTACATGTGTCCATTTTATCTAACTGTTCTTGTTACCCGTAAGGGTGATTTACTTTCTGATACACAATTCACATTAAAAGATACATCGAATGCATTCAAATTACCAATTTTAAGAGGATTGTTACTTGATAATAGGAGGGCTGGAGTATATCAAACTTTGATGATTTTATTCCGATGAAGGGTGGTCATTTTTGAAGCAGAGATGAAAGGGCTTGAAAATATATAAGCGATGACATGATGTAGTTCACTCATGGTTCGAAGGCCAGTTTTTTACTCCAATGAAAAAGGTTTCCATTTTTATATTCCTACTGTGCTCCTCATTTTATTCTCTTGGGAGCCCAATATAATGATTCTAAAATCCGCTCTTCTAGCCTTGAAATGCAGTTTGCTTAAAAATCACATTTATGACCATACATAAATCACTCATATTTTATCACTTATATAGATCACTTCTATGGTGTGTTGAATTGGTCAAATTTGTTGGATTTTATTCCCCTCCCTCACCTTGCTCTTATCCTTATCTTATGACAAAAAATTCATTTGTTACAAATTTTCGAAGTTTTCACATATTAAATAACATAATGTGCACACCTTTCGGTTCGATGTGCTATATACCATGAGTTCTGCTTTAAATTATTTTATTTTAAGAAGTAAATTTATAAGATCGTCATGTTATTTACTCTCAGCCTGGAAAAGTCCGAACCTTGCTTTTATATTTATTTCGACATAAAAAACATCTTATTCGTACTAGTCTATGATTGCAATTTTTTCAAAGTTTAAATTAATAAGCCCTGTGCCTGTTCTTTGTTTTTATGGAATAAGTTTCGTAAATTTGAACATAATTACTTTCTTTTCTTCTGTCAACATAGTTAAAGATATTACTTGATGTATAGCTGTTTGTTTGTTTGGCCATTAATAAAATTCGAAAGAGATGTGAAGTGTAGCTAACACATAAAGTAATTGAATCCTATTTTTAGAGCGTGCCTCTTAGGCTAAGTTGTATTCCTTCTTGAAGATCCCTCACTCGACAAACACCATTAGCTGCGATATCGTATTCCTTCCTTGGCCTTCTATGACCTACTTTGGATGCAACTTATTCTTCATTGTCTTCTTGACCTCGGATTTGCTTTATTTGGCTCTTTAAGACCTTTTTTTTTTTTATTGCGTAAATCACAATTTATCTATTATTATGTACTGTCACTAAAATGAATGAATTTACTGCAAATAAATACGAAATCTCTTAGGATAAGTATTAATGTTGAAAGTAAACAGTGTTATATCTAACTTTAAGAGACACAAATATAATTGTGAAGTTTACAGCCTCGCAATGGTCTCTTCGCAATGATGGATTAATTCATAAGCTGGTCTAGGCTGTGGTAGTTGAATAAGTATACATAAGAAGATGAAAGCAGACATCCAAATAAGATTCACAAAATCATAAAACATATTATCCATAGTATCCCATAGTTTGAGATATTCAGAGTGAAACCTAAATATCTCAAACTATGATGTATGAATGCTGGACAAAGTAAAGATGTCAGGAATAGGCCATACTTTTTTTTAAATACCTCATATTTATGACAGTTGTCAAATCGAAAACATATTATCAGACAGTTATTGCACTTTAATCTGTCATAGGATCAGATGTAATGGGCCTGTTGCATTGTCTTGGAATGGAATTGCATTACTGAGGTCGGGCAATAAACGTTAAATCGATTATGCATGTCCCCAGAACGGTGGAAAATTCTTCTTTATTATGATCGAACAAATGTTCTGTTAGTAAGTAAGGGAATTATACCTCAGGAATAACGTGCATCAAAGTAATTGTGATTATATTGAAGTTCGTTTTTTTATTAAGAATCTTGTAGTCATCGTTTCAATTTCTGATCTGATGTTTCCCCAAAATTTCTAAGACAGATCCCACCCATCCAAGTCAGGATATGATGATTATATACTATGATAAATAAGTTGTGATTTAAAAGTCAATATCAGTAATATAAAGTTTCCTTAATAGTTTTAAGCTATATC